ACCTAGAATTAAAACACCTATTTCTAATATACACCGCTTTCATTACGGCATACGCCCACAAACGTCTGGGGAGATTTGCTTCTAATAGCATGCATCTAGCCATGCTAAATAAACTCCGCCACGCTCTCTCTACAGTGCCATTCTGGGGTGGGGAATATGGCGCACTGGTTTCGTGTTTAATTGAATTTTGACGCAGTAGTGATTTAAATTTCCGGCTGGTAAATTCCGTACCATTGTCGCTTCTAATGCGTTTTACCTTTCCAAAGGGTGCAATATCAGCCAAAAACTTTTCAGTAGCTTCCACTGTATCGCTCTTCTGTTTAAGAAAATATATTAAGTTAGTACCAGTGAAATCATCTACAAAAGATAAGGCATATTTAAAACCATCCTTCGCTGCTGGCTCAACTGGACCAGCTAAATCCCAGTGTACGAACTCAAGAGGACCTTTTGCCCTTTGATCTGGCTCTCGACTTCGATGTTGGCACATTTTACCCTGTGTACATACCTCACAAAGGATTTCCTTGTCTTCTATTATCTTCATACCTTTAACCACGCTCTCAAGTTTGCGCACATCATTATAATTACAATGCCCTAATATCTTGTGCCATTCCATTAGGGACGATGCGTTATTTTGAGAAGATTTATTTAAGTAATATAATTTACCTACCTGTTCGATACCAAACACTGTTCCCTCGGGGTCCCTGCACTCTCTAACTTGCCTATCTAAGCTAACAGCAGCCCCCTTCTCTATTGCAGCAGGAACGGAGAAAATATTTTGCTGATAAGACGGAATATACAGCGCGTTACTAAGCATTACATCTTTTAAATTACCATTAATATCGTACAATTTAACTTTAGCGTTACCTTTACCTAAAACAACATTAGCTTTACTTCCGTCAGCTAACTCTATTACATGATTACTTGGGTCGAACTTCTCATCAAAATTTACAAATTTAGATTTATCATTAATTATATGACTTGTTGCCCCTGTATCTACTAGTAGATTTGAGGTCTTACCTCCATTAGAATTATTTTCCTTAAGTGTAAATGCAAATGAATGTATTTTAGCGTTCTCTTCGCCGGTTTCAGCGGCCATCTTTACACCGTCTCTTCTTGCTCTGCAATCCTTGGTATTGTGTGTCTTGCTCTTGCACTTGTTGCACCATTTTTCAGCTTTCATCCAGCAATCGGAACTTTTATGTCCTTTCTTGTCACACTTAAAACACTTTCCTTCAAATTTCTTCTTCACGTACATTACGTTGTCGCCATTCTCCGCCGGTCTGCAGCACTTCTCGTTCTCTTCGTGGTTACGCAATGCGATTTTGAAGTCGCCAAAATTCATCTGGTTTTCTCGTTGAATAACCACCGTAGAAAATGTTTTATAAGCGTTTGGTAGACCCTTGAGTACCATGGCAATCAGAAGTCCATCACTGATTACTTCCTCGGCAGCCTTCAATGCGGTCGCGGCAGTTTCTGCCCGTATGATGTAGTCCGTAATTGTCTCATTTTCTGTCTTCTTCAACGACGTTAACTCCGTGTACAGCGAGATTATTCTGGGCTTTCCCTTGCCTTGATAATGTTCTCTCAGAACCGTCAGGGCTTTTCTTCCATTATCTTTCGCCTCTCGTATGATCAGGGCCAAGCTCCTGTCATCTAGACATTGCACTAATTCGGCAAAGGCATCTGCGTTCTTTGCCTCATCTAGCTCTCTTTCGCTACTGCTAGGAATGAATATATCGTAAAGTTTTTGGAGTCGCATATATCCCAAAAACTTCACCTCCCATAATTCATACTTGTTCTCGTCTCCATCAAAAATCAAGCCTCTCCTGGGCCCATAACCTGTTGGGTTTTGTACCGTTGCCATCGCTCTTTCTCGAATACGAAGCACAACATACAACTTTGGAGTTTTACAAAAGAATGTATTTAATAATAAAAATCACACATATATATACAAGATTATATCTATAATAAGTGTTTGGTACATGGAGCAACTATTTGTACTGGAATTTGTGGTATCCAGAGATTACATTTTACATACATATCTATAGTAATCAATGTCATTCATTAACTAATAATCTTATTATCATTGTCAACAGAATATCAGGAGCATATTCTAACAGTTTGTGAACCCCCCCCCCCGCCTGCCAACATTTTTTTGAAAAAATATGAGCCAATTTTTAAAATTTGCCCCAGGACCCCAAATTTCCCTGTGCAGCCCTGCATACCATGTACCAAAGTAAATATCTATGCCTCTATTATTGTGTTTTTGAGGAAGGCATTCAGGGAGTTTGTCATTGCCTGTTACCTAGACGTATTATGTTTCTGAGGTTGGCTCTAATGACATTACTGTATGTCTTATGACATATGCTGTACAGTAGAACAATGTTACGACATACTGCATACTACAGTATAACATTTAAAACTTTGTAAATATTTTATATCTTTATTAAAAGTCTAGATACTGAAGCATATTTATATAAAAGGTAAGTTTCTTTTCCATCCCTATATACCTATATACAGTTCACTCTACTATATTAAGTGAATATTGTGTGTATCACTATGGTTACCAAAAACTCTCACGCAACAATGGTACGAAGTAATAAATACGAAGCGCGCGAAAATTTGAATTTGAGTCTTGCAGGGCATTTGGAGTTTAACAGTAAGTTTTTTTTCCGAAAAAATACTATTTTAAAATTTGTCTATATTTAAAAACTACAATTATTTGTACAATATATATGTTTTGAGCAGAAACTACTTTATTTGGTGGGTAAAATTTTCTATTTCAATTTCATCTTTTTTATAGATTAATTTAAAAGATATTAACGGAAAGGTACGAGTATATTTTTAATATATTTACTGTATATGTATGCTCCTGAGATAGTTTAACTCATTAAGCGGCAAGCTGTTACAATGTTTCTACCCGCCTAAGGCGCAAGCAATATGGCGAATTTGTGATTGAATTCAAGAGCTTTCACCAAAATGGCAATATCTCAGAAACAGTTGCATAAAAAAATCTGATCTTTTCAACCAAACATTAGTGATATATGATTGACCAAATTTAGTTTAAATGAACTTGCATACCTATATATATCATTAGTTTTTTCAATGAGAATTTTTATTTGTAAAGCAGTGACACTTTGTTTTTCATGTCACTCATCACCTAAAGGGGCAATATCTCCATAAATTTATATAAAAACAAAAAAAAAATCATTTACTAAATTAGTACATATCTATATTATAACCAATTTTCATCTTTGGGATATGAATTAGAAAACGATCAAAAATTATAAAAAATACTCATTTGCTTTTTTTGGGCAAGATATTTACAACACGAAATTTAGAACAGTAACTAAGTGTTCAAATTCAACAAAATGTGCAAGCCAAAACACAGTGCTTGTTCATCTTTGGAGTTTTTAATTACCTCAAATATATTTAAAAGGACATATGGTACTAGAATTTATTTATTTTCAATATAAACCAAGGATGGGAAGGTGAGAAAATAGGAATTTTCTGAGGTGTTTTTAACACAGACAATGACAGCCGACATTTTCAAAGGCAAATTGCGGTGACAAATCCAAAAGTTATTCACTTCTCTACTCAAAGCACTGAAAAACACCATAAAGAGAAAAACATTTTAAACATACATCAGGTAAGCCTTTTAGCTCAATTTTCTCATGTTTCTGTTTGGAAAGAAACGGTTTTTAGCCAAAATTATTTTGCGCGCCAATGTAGAGATCGGAAGAGACGCGTCTGACACGCGTTTTCTTTTGAAGTCTGGCTCTAAAAAACAATCGCTTTTTTTAGTTTGAAATAAGCTTTCATAAGGACTAATTGTGTAGAAATGTTATCTGTATGCTCAAATGAAAAAGATAACCTAATATTCAGGTATTCAACATAGCTATAAAAGGGTGAAATAAGGACTTTCATCTTTGGTTGTTTGTCAGACATGAGAAACCACATTAGTGCCATTTTGTCGCGCGTGCTATTTTATAAAATAAACACCTCAAAACCATGAACTTTTAGTTCAGAAAATAACAAAGTTTCCCATAGACATTATTAAAAATGTTCTAGTGAGACGATTTCATGATAAATAAGTGAGCTATGGGCCCAAAAGAACTGCTAAACTATGTTTTTGTTAGGACTTCAATTTCATGGCTTCCCGCAAAGGAAGCCATTTCAGAGAGAAGCGGCATTTTGCAAGCAACGGTCGCAACCTATTTTTGATAACTTTTCCTTCTGATTCAACGTGTAGTTACTAGAAAATGAAGTTGCATCAACATTATTATCTGCTTTATCGATTTAAAGTTTTATGTACTATTTCAAAAACGAGCAGGAGTGTTTTATTAGGTTTAAAGCTTTAGCCCTAATAAAACACGACCCGCGAGTTTTTTAAATGACTTCAAAAACGTATGCATAATAAGTCATATCTTTATATAAAAACCTTTATATAAAAATCTTTATATAAAAATCCTTGCTAAATTTAAAATTGGTCAAAATATCCCGATATATTTGTAAAATATCATCATGTACAAGTATTTTGAGATATGACATTGTTGTCAGTTGCATGATAACTTCAGATCACTGTTTAATATTGTCTTCTTTTACATACCTACCAACTCTCACAGCTACCGCGTGTGTCTCACGCCTCAGCTCCATTTCTCACACTCACACACATGAAAGTTAAAATCTCACGCCTCACTGAAAATCTCACACCTTATTAAAAATTTCACGCCTTATTAACGATTTCACACCTACTTGACAATTTCACGCCTTCTAGTCTTACTCAAACTTTACTATTGCTGCAATATATCGCAATCAGTCATCAGATTTCGAGGATAATACACAAATGAAATTATGTAATAATTTAATTAATATTATAATGCTCAAGTACCTTTAATATTTGAAGTCTGATATTCGATCAAGCAAATAATTATGCAAATAAATATGCAAATAATTATGCAAATAATTGATGCGGAGCCTGGGCAGTTTACAAATTCAAAATGTCAGACTCAACCTCAGACTCGGATGATACAACAACAACAACATATTTGTCAGATAGCAATGATCTTGATGGCAGTTCAAATCCTAAAAAGGCAAAAGTGACGAGAAAAAACCATGGTGCTGCTGTGTTTCGCACAAAATTTAATCCACAGTGGCGAGAAAAATTTCCTTTCATCGACACAGTATCAGATGATATTTACAGCTTTTACTGCAACATTTGTAAACGAAGTGTGAAATGCAGTCATATGGGTATAACCGATGTTGAAAGACATGCTGGCAATCGAATGCACATTGCTAATGTGAAAGCCGCTCGCGGTCAGCTGTCAGCGTACAATCAACTTCCCTAGGAATGACAGCCCATTAATTGAGAAGGTATGTAAAATAATATAAATGTTAAACAGTGGTAAGCAGATTGGCCTGTAACATACGACCACTGACATATATACACTGGACTGAGTTCTCCAATTCAAAAGTGTCCACACAAAAGATGATGAAAGTTGACGTATGCAACCTCGTGGTTGTTTGAGCACTCTGGCCCCATGACACTCTGCGCATGTCTGGATGCGTTGATGGCCCGTGCTGTACCACATGCGCTTGGGAGAGCAAGTTGCATGTATACAAATACGAAAGTCATTGCGTATCTAGATGTGTACCAAGCTGCACTGACGAGGCGTAGGACGAACATGCATGTCTGCAGATTGTACTACATATACATATAGTGCAGCGGGTAACTATAATAATTGTGCGTTTTTTGAGAAAAGCATGAAATTACTAACATAGTTAGTGCATACCATAAGCTTTATTTTCAGATGTGGAGGGAAGTCAGGTTTGACCTTGGGGACCGTGTAAGGTCAATCCAAGATGGCCGCCATTTCTCATGACGTAATCACACCAATCACGCTAAAATTTGGAACCAAGCAGTGTAGAAAAACATATTAGGTGTCTTTGTATGATAAAATTATGGATACACGTCCAATTGGTGATACGTTTAAGACAGTCTGCACGGAATAACACACAGTTATGTCAAGGTCAATCAATCTATGTTAAATATTTATTTAATGTCATCTAATTGAAAGGAGTCCATTGGCACTTTCAAACGTTTATTTTTCCAAAAATATAGCACCTGAAACTTTAAAATAACTATTTACATAACAAGAAGTGATGCATCACAATTGTCGAAATCTAACAGTCTCCAGAGCAGACACACAGTGCTGTGCACTTTAGAGCAGCTTTGACACATTTGCAGCGTCCAGTGCACCCTTTCTTACAGCTGCAGTGGATCAATTCATGGCACGATTTCGATGCTTCGGGAAGAGTGGTCCAAAGAGGCTGCCACCCAGTTGTGTCCCTTGTCCATCCCCAGTCAGATGGGTCTGGCATCTCTGGATCCTTCACTAATGCCTGGTTCCAACAGTGAGCCTGGTAGCGAGTCCGCTTGATATGTTGCTTGAGTGCAGCTTGTGTTGGAGGGATGTTTTCTAAAGTTCTAGACTTCTGTGTGAATAGCTGTTTCCTGGCATCATTGACGTTAGTACTCTCGCTGGTTCGGTCGTACATCAACACCACATATCGCTCTAGCAGTAACAAAGCTTTTTCACTGATCTCATTTGGCATGCATAGGAGTTCACTGAAAGCGTCAATCACGTCTGGAAAAGACTTCAATGTTTGCCATGCTGTCTTCTTTCCTCTGCCAGCGAATGTAGATACAGTATCACAGCCAGTATATGCGTGAAAGACTGGAAGAGTGAGACATTCTGAGGGAGACACTGTGGAAACTATTTCGTGAATAGCTATGTACCGAAAACTTGATCCGGCGCCAAAAGCAATCCATAGCTCATCAGGGCCAATCTTGCTGAATGAAGCCACAGCCAGTATCACTACATCAGTATCAACGGTTCGTATAGTGATCTTTGTACACCCCTTTTGCACAGCATCTGCCGCATGCAGAAGTAGACGAGTGTCGGCTTCCTCTTGCGAACACGGGGCAAGGCGGGCTAAGTTAGACTCAGCAGGAGAACAGAGGACTCCACTTCCATCACTTGCATATAGTTCCTTGCCATCTGCTAGCGGAATATGAACAACTTTTTGTGACAAGAAAGTGAACAATTCAGTCTTGTTCTGATCGACTCGAAGGAAGTCCTTCCAGTTCTTAGGCATTGCAGTGGAAGCAGCGACCCTTTTCCTGGTTCCTTTCCCCCTCTTCTGCCTGGTGGAGGCCTTCAGGCTTGCAGGTAGGTATACATCCCAGACAAGGTCGACGCGGTGACTCTTCTGGAATTGGGCAGCGATGTACGGTGTAAACACTCTTTCACCATATTCTTGAAAAGTTTTTGATGTTCCAGGATTCAGCATTTGGACCACAGCTGCACCATCAAGAATTGTTGCATCAACCACTGGCACGCCATTTTGTTCAGGCAAATCTGCTTCCAGACAGCGAAGTAGATCTGCTTTAACACCACTCCGCATCTTTCCTGCAATTGACAGAGCTGGTGGAGCTGACTGGTTTTCATGAGCAAAGAATGTGTCGATGTCTCCATCACGAGTTTGACAAGAGATGTATAACCTCGAAAAGAGACCACAGTCACTCTTCAGTGCTGCCAGCTGTGCTTTCTGTTTTGATTGAACTTTGACAGGCGGCCTACTAAACAATGGCAGCTTGTTCTTTGGAAGTGTTTCCGTGATAGGTGTTTTACACTGTTCTAGCCTCTCTGTGACAAACTTGATGTATTGCTCTTCACCCAGGGTCTCGATCTTTCTCACAGTTTCTGCCACTTCAGCGTCTACAATGTCCCGTGTATCAATGACTAGTAGGTCTTCACTGTGTTCTAAGAACGGATTTCCCATCTCGTCCAGCACTGTTACAAGTGCTTTAAGCTCTTTCAAGAATGCTGCTTGCACCCCAGGTTGCTGGTCATGATGACTGCATTTAGTGTCATGATGTTGCTTCATGGCCTGTTCCTCAAACTCTGTTGTAAGTCTGGCGATTTCTGGCCCTGCTACCATCCAACGTCTCAGTGCTCCAGGATTGCCAGTCAATCCAATAGCCCCACCAGAGCCTTTCACCATTGCATTGTTCTGCTCGTGAGACTGATCAAGTGCCATGGCAGAGAATTTGTTGCTGGTTTTGTGTACCACAAAGTTTCCTAACTTGAATTCAGCGAAAACATCTGGGTGTTTTTCAGCAAGTGTCGTCATGTCGCGGATGTGTACGGAAAGCCATCTCGAGTAGTGTGTATGATCTAGAGCGAACATCCAAGGCATGATCTGCGTCAGGGAGTCCACGTACAGTTGGAAGTTACCTTCACGTAGTGATCTAATGTACCGCAACAAGAGAAGCTCCAATGACAACGTCTTAAGCCAGTAGTCAAAGTGAACACTAGCATTTGCTCGCTGTATGCACCACTCCTCGAAAGACGGAGTATCTGGTTGCATAGCATCAGTATATTCGGATGTGCTGTCTTCATTGTAAGCTTTTTGGAGGAGTGCGTAAAGGCTTGCAGCTGTGACCTGGTGTGCATGGCGGGTCTTTGTGACATGGCTGGCGTTTATGAAGGAATTTGCTGTTCCAGCACTTGCAATGTCAGCCTGTACCAGGGCGTTCGTCCAGCCACTATCTTCCAGCCAGTCTCCCAGCAACTTCAGCATGGCCATCTCGATATGTAGACCACCAAACATGATTAAGAAGTGATCCTCTCCGTGAATGACTGGCCAAGTCCACTGGATTCCCTTGGCAAGTGCATATAGTGGTTGGTCAGCAGCAAGGACGGGCACCTGACCAGGGTTCAAATGTTGAACTGCCGCCTTGACAATGTCCATGGAGTGCCGTATCATTGCTACTGAGTGCGCATTGTCAAGAAACAAAGGCAATAGTGCATTAATTGCTGGAGGTGGTATGACAGCTTGGTGCATGTCAGCATGGTAGGCAGACCACGATATCCAGCCATCAACAGTGGATTTTTCAAGAGCTGTCTTGACTTTTCTGAGCCATAGATATTCATCTTCTGTGGCAGCTGCAACAGCTGGCAGGTTGGAAGGTCTCGCTGGGCCTTGAATAGCTGGAGCGGTGAATTCCTTGGTCTTGAAGGCAGCTGGCGGAACAATTGTGTAGGCTGATGGCAGAGATGTCACTGACTTTGATGAAGTGCCCGGACCAATCACTGGTACACCACGATCAGTTCCACCATCTGTGTGTGACGGATGTTGCATAAGCGAGATTCCTGTACCATGGAAAGAATCTTTGGCGGTTGCAGAACTTGGATTGTGGTCAATGTTGTCCACAGCTCCTGTTGTGAACAGTCCTTGACGCAACTTTGGTGGGCACACAACATCTTCCATCCTAAAGCGTTGGCAGACACCATTGGCAATGTCGGATGTAAGTTGTAACAGCCTGTCGTAGGAGACACACAGCCCCAGCTTGAACAGTGTGTCAACCAGCCCTCTACTGCGTGTAACTGCGTGGATCTTGAGAGACAGATAGAGTTGTATTGGAGTCTCTCTGCTGCGGCTATGACGTGCTGAGCTTGATGCATTCACGTTCCGTGCATAGATCGGAAGAGCAGTTAAACACCATCAATTGGGCGATTGTTAAGGCAGGTTTTGTGGTGGTCGTGTGGATCAGCTGATTCTGATCCTTTATGTTTGCCCCATCGAGTATCATGTTGACCAGAGCCAAAAGGGATGGTGGCACAGCTTCCTCCTGGCAGTTTGCCTTGAACGTCCCATCAAACACGAAACCTGAGTCGAATATTTCTTTGCGCACTACTTTTGCTGCTCGCATCAAATGCATGGCATCACTATCATGAGAACAGGCCATCATTAGGGCTGGTCCAATGTTCTTCTCGAAACTCAAAAGTGTGTCTCTGCCTTGCGAATAAGCTCTCAGGTCAGGAAGCGCGGTAAGCAGTCTATTTTTCAGTCTGGTGGCGTGAATCCGTTTCTCTACAGTTACACCAAGCTGCTCCAATCTCACCTTGTACATTTCAGTTAGGTCTACCAGTTTGAAAACGGGAGCAGTGTCCTCATCACTGTTGTTGTCTTCGAGGAATGCCACTAACTCAGAAAAGGCTATGCCATGCAGGCAAGAATCATCTTCATCATTGCCTTTGGGTGCGGCCTTCCTGGCTCTGTTATACAGTGAACGCAAACAGTCGTGATGGTATTTGGCTTCAATGGCAATCATGTCTCCTGCTGCTAGTTTGGCCAGCAAAGCAGTGTCTTCGAGTTCAAGGGCAATCCTACGTACATTTACGTCAATTGAGTAGGTCGATGCATTGTGTAACACTGCAGAACCAGCCGGCTCGTTGCAAAAGAAACAAGTAGGCTCTGTGTTCATTGGATGAGTGTGAGCAGATCGTGTATGCAGAGTAGAGGTAATTGGCTGTTGTACCGTACAAGATTCTCTCCGACTTTGCTCATCATACGACTTTTTATTGAATTTCAAGCGACATTTCTTATGCCACACCGCCTTGTGTGCCTGCAAAGTGGCTTCTATGCCATTTCCATCATCCAGTTGGTCCAAGTCCAGGTCCATTGGCATATGCTGAAGAGTCTGGAATCGGAGTAGGTCTTCTGCCAATGATGTATAGCCACTACCAACAGGCTGTTTTGTCGATTTAAGTGGGCACTGTAAAGATTCATTTTGAACTTCTCTACAGAGGATACAAATGTCCCAGTTGATGCTTGGTGTTGGCTTGGATCGTTTGGATGGAATAGATCGGGCAGGATCAATCAATACATGATGCTTCGGCATGTTTGAGACAAGAAAGAAAATAGATTCTGAAATAATCATATAATACCAGAGCATCAAGAGCATCGTCAATTGTGGATGTTACTACACAAAAGGAATCACGAAGTTTATTAATTAATAGTCAAAATTAAAGTTGGTTCATAATTCTCCTGTTTCGTACTCCATTCTTTTGCATTTTTACACCAGTTTGTATATCATTATAATGTTTTTTTCACGATGTTTTATAATAGTACATGGGCCCAAACTACAAGATTATCTATCTCTTTACCAAACGGATAGGCAAATCTAAACTGAACGCTAACTCAGGGGCAAAATTGAAGCCACTTGCATTTTAGTTTTTTCTGAGTTATGAACAGAAATAATTAACACTGAATGTTGGGCTATATATCAAACTGAAGCTATTGAAAAACGCTATTCGGTGTGGGACTTTCAAGACTTCAGCCAAAAGGGAAATATTTAAAAAATATAACAATAATTGCCATTAATTTGCCATTTTTGTATTTTTAAAATATTTCCCTTTTAGCTACAGCCTTGAAATCCCCACACCAAATATCGTTTTGCTATAGCTTCAGTTTAATATATAGCCCAACATTCAGTGTTAAGTATTTCTGCTCATAACTCAGAAAAAAAACATTTTGGCTTCAGGCAGGTATGGCGTGTTTAGCTGCAGTTAGCGTTATATCAAACTGATAAACTCTGCATTTCACCTTGTTCTAAGATAAAGTTTTAAGTGATTTATTTAAGAATAATTCTCAAAATTTGGTTTCTTGAATATAAAAAACATGTTTTACATAATGTACATTATATAAAACATGTTTTTAATATTTTTTTACTCACCTGGATTTCATAAATATGTTAATTCCAGTCGCCATGTTGAAAAGGCTGAGCCCGCACTCTTGACCGCTGATCGGTGCCAACTTAGCTTACAAAGACGCTAATATGGAACATTTATACATGGTTATATCTTATAATATATTTGTGTACTTATTAAAACCTTTTTTTTTAAATTTGTAATAAAAATACTGGACCTGTTTTCAGGACAAGTATTCACTGGTATTATATACTAACTGCGATATAAGCACCCTAATTTTAATATACAACCGATGTAGCTACAAAGATGAATTTTGGACACCATACTGAATTATTGACGTTGATCCATATGAGTCACCGACCGTATTTATGGGCATCATAAGGAAACTTTAGTATGACATCCCAACCATTAGGTGCCACAGTCGTTTTGGAACAATTTGACCTTGAGCTTGACCTTGATTTTTAATAAACTACATATCGCGATCTTAAACGTATCACCAATTGGACGTGTATTCATAATTTTATCATACAAAGACACCTAATATGTTTTTCTACACTGCTTGGCTCCAAATTTTAGCGTGGTTGGTGTGATTACGTCATGAGAAATGGCGGCCATCTTGGATTGACCTTACACGGTCCCCAAGGTCAAACCTGACTTCCCTCCACATCTGAAAATAAAGCTTATGGTATGCACTAACTATGTTAGAAATTTCATGCTTTTCTCAAAAAACGCACAATTCTTATAATACGAGAGCTTATCCGCCCAGGAGCTTTATGCTCTGAGCGGCTATGTCTTTCTCACACGAAATCGTGATTATGGAAGGGGTGGTGGAGTTGGTATGTATGTGAAGGATGGAATTTCATTTAAACGGCGATCTGATTTAGAAAATTCTACTGCAATCGAGTGTTTATGGATTGAGATATTTTTGAAAAGTGCAAAACCTTTCATCGTTGGATGCTTCTATATATTGTCCTTCTGAGACATCAAATACCACCAATGAAACTTTAACGACCTACTACAAGACCATCTGCGCATTATTGACAATGAAAACAATTAATGGGCGATTTTAATGTGAATTATAATGATACGTCCTCAAACACAATGTTCAAGACGATCGTAAAGTTGTTTGGTTTTAAACAACTTATAAAGAAATGCACCCGTTTAACGGAGACATCGTCAACAACAATCGACTTGATATTGTCTAACGCTGCACAAAATATATCTGCAGTTGACGTTGTAGCAACATCTCTCAGCGACCATGCATGACATGGTTGCTTGTATAAGAAAGATTAACCACCAACGTTACAATCCTAGAATGATTAAATGCCGAGACTATAAGAACTACGACCATAATGAGCTTTGTGCAGATATGATCAACATAGACTGGCAACCTTTATATGAAATTCTTGACGTAAATAAAGCACTGGATTACTTAAATAATATTCTTGGAGAGACGTTTAGTAAACATGCTCCTTTAATAGAGAAACGGGTAAAGGGAAGAAAATGTGAATGGTTAACAAGTGAATTGAAACGCTTGTTGAGTGAGCGTGACAAACTACTACGAAAAGCCCGTCGAACAAAAGATCCAGCAGACTGGAGAGCTTACAAAACGTCACGCAACAAGTGTACAAACGAAGTCCGACATGCCAAGGCGAAATATCATCGTAATCTGTTAAATGAGAAAAGTGGTGAACCAAAAAGTTCTAGAACTGCATTAAGAATATATTTCCAAACAAGTCATCCAAGTCAATGTTGTCATCTTTGTCACGGGATGATTCTAAAGTTCGTGCAAATAGCTTTAGTAACTATTTTAAAAACGTTATTTCTTCGCTGAAGACGAAAGCAATTCCACTCGTTCATTTTGCGTGGAGATACATTAAGCCACCCTCTGTTAAGACAGATAAGAGATTTCTCTTCAAATGCGTATCGAAGGCACAGATTGAGCAAGACCTTCGATCACTGCAGCGCACCAAAGCTACCGGTATTGATGAACTGCCACCTGGAATGCTGAAAGACTGTGCGAAGTACATTTCCGGTCCTCTATGCTACGTCATCAACTTATCAATCAAAAGCTGCACGGTACCTAGTCTTTGGAAGATTGCAAAAATTGTACCAATCTATAAATCTGGAAACGCAAACTTGTTAGGAAACCATCGACCTATATCAGTGTTGCCGGTATTGTCAAAGCTCATTGAAAAAGCTGTGCACAAGCAACTCCTGGACTATCTTGAAGGAAATAATTTACTGAATAATTGCCAATATGGTTTCCGAAAACATCGTCGTGGTTCAACTAAGTTAGCTGCTACGCTGCTGTGCGATAATATACGTCGTGAGTTAGATAGTGGAAAATTTGTGGAAGCTGTTTACATTGATCTCAGTAAGGCCTTCGACACCATTGGTCATGGAATATTGCTGAACAAGTTGGAATCTTACGGCGTTATGGGCAACGAATTAACCTGGTTTACCGATTACCTGTTCAACAGAAATCAAATAGTTGAGATCAATAATGTGCACTCCGATATGGAGCCTATTTTCTGTGGCGTTCCCCAAGACCCAATTCTTGGGCCTTTGCTGTTCATAGTATTTTTCAATGATATTGCGGATAGGATACAGCATTCAAATGTGATCACATATGCTGATGATACTGTTGTTTATTATTCAAGCAATGATGTGAACGCGATTGAGGATATGCTAAATCTGGAAATGGAAAACATTGGAAAATACTGCAGGGAAAATGAACTTTTACTAAACCTTAAAAAGGGCAAAACAGAATCAATGCTCTTCGGAACATCTAAGAAGATTAGTAAATATGGCAGAGATCTTAAAATCCAATATCAAAATACTGAAATATCTTTTGTCAAGGAGTACGTTTACCTGGGTAACACTGTGGATAGTCACCTACTTATGAACACCAATTTTGATTGTGCGTACAAGAAGACAAGTGGTCGTCTCAGGTTGTTACAAAACGTCAGAAAGTATTTAACAGTTGACGCAGCGTTGAAGATCTTTAGGATGATAATACTTCCTATATTAACTTATAGCACCGTCAAAATGACCATCACAGAGATACAAAAGGAAAAGTTAACTTCGCTTCAAAAACGAGCAAAGAGCATCATTGACGTCATCGAATGTGAATTCTGCCTGCTTGTGAAGAGGTGTTTAGAACAGGAAATACATAATCCAATTTTTGACGAGTATTTTACAATGATTAGTCATGAAAAAGGAACAAGAAATAACAATTGCATGTTAAGATTACCTCGCGTGAAGCTGGAGGTAGCAAAGCAAAGTTTTTATTTTGGCGGAGCGAAATTATACAGTGCTCTGCCATTAGATGATCAGTACAAACTCTCGAAAAATTCAGGAAAAGCTTGAAGGAATTGTTTTAACATTTTTAATATTCATATATATATATATATATATATATATATACAAACAACCACAAGGGAAGTGTATATATTTAACAATTGTACCATGAGCTCGAATCGTATATGAGCTGGTATGGTTATGCTGATATGGGCCAATTCAAAAAAGGTTGTCCTTTAAAAATCTTGAACCTTAAATATTGAGCGTGCAAGGTATGATGGTTATTGCTTATTTGGAACCTATAAGATGTAAAACTCTAAATAGGAAGTTACCCATTATACCTTGGTCTTGGACGCTCAATGTCTAAGGTTTAAGATTTTTGAATTACACTTAAACAAGGTGCATTGCATTCAGTAATGTCTAACTTAAATTCTGAAAAACGCCGTGTGCGTTTTCATGTGCGTTTTCATGCAATATTGATCGAGATAGCTGCATTTAAACTTGAGTAAACATTTTTGGAAGTGTCGTGAATTACCCCAAAACGACCTATTTCGATGTTTTCAGCTGTTCTTGCCGTTCTCGGTCGACCACTTCGTCCTTTGTTGAGAATGTGACAAGTCCCCTCTCGGAAAAACTTTCGAATAACGTTTTCATAACTGTTCGCACTCGAGCAAGAAGGTTACCACAGCGACCTGCCCAACGCCGTATAACCTCACAAGCGTTATTTACCCTTGCATGTATATTCTAAACAAATTCAAACCCTTTGGTCCTTCCTTAAACGAAGCATATTTATAAAAAAAAACACGCGACGTTTCTTGGAACGTTAGAAATCGATTCCCCAGCGACATTTATATTTAGAATAGAGAAACTTTTAATCAAAACTACAGCCTTAAGCTAATTTTCATGCATTTTCATGCAAAAGAATACCCGTCCAATAAATAGAGAATAATACATGCATGGGTGCGCGGAAATACCAGATTTATTTCTCGTGTTGAACATGATATCTCAAGAGTGAGCGCAGCGAACGAGTGAGATATCATGTTCAACACGAGAAATAAATCTGGTATTTCCAAGCATCCATGTATTTTTTTTGTTTATTATACTGTATAAAGGACAGTCTTTGAAAAGCGATAATGTTTACAGAAAAGCCGTAATTGAAAAGCGATAATTTTCACATGTGAAATTATCATAAATAATCTCATATGTGAGATTATCAGTTTTATCAGTGCTCGAAATTTCTATAAAGCACTATACTTTATATAATAAATATTTTTAACTTCAACTTCGCTTTATTGAAACGAATGCTTACGATAAAATGGTAACGGTTATCAAATTAGTTTAATAGGCCGTTTTTACGTGACTAATTCTAGACACGTACTTCCAAACATTTAAAGATGTTAGATGCGAAGCCAGGATAGTTCATATTAAGAGTTTCAAACGTTCGCTGCATGGTTCAAATATTTATTTGGACGAGCTTTCGAATATTGCATGAAAAGGCACATGCAATATTCTATGAATATTCGGTATATTCGAATATTATACCTCACAATGAGCTTGTCCAATCAGAGAACTAAATTTGTACCACATGACCATGGTATTTTTCAGCGAATACTATGACCTAGGCAATTTGAACCCTGGGTGTTTTACCCGGGGCCATGGTATTCGACTTCGAATACCACGCTTGAGCGGGAAATTCGACTTTTTTAAATGTAAAGTTATCAAAAGTTGTGTTTTGAAATTAAAAGTTAATTGAATGGTATTTGTTTTCTACTTATTTTTGAAAGGTTCGGTATAATATACCATTTATAGACCTTTCACTCGGGGTATTCCACAAAAAATTACCCTGCGGGATGAAATATTCCTCGGGCTTCGCCCTCGGAATATTTCATCCCTCAGGGTAATTTTTTGTGGAATACCCCGAGTGAAAGGTCTATAACTGATAAATATTGCATGAGAAGGCACATGGCGTATATCAACATTTAAGTTAGACAATAATGAATGCAATGCTCTTTTAGATTTTACGTTATACTAAATTAAACAGCAGAACTTTTTTTGCGCCACCAGGTATATATGAATGAAATTATGAAACATTACGTAAGGGGCCATTCACAAAGGATGTCCGAGCCGAGGGGGGGGGAGGGGGGTTTGGAAAATCAGGACAAACTCGGACATAGGGGGGGAGGGGGGGTTTTTAGCAATCCGGATGTCCGAAATTTAAAAAAATTCAAAAACAAATTTCTTTTTCCCTCTATTTTGAGCAGTCCTTCCCATTGTGAAATTGGCATTTTGACTATGCGGTTAACACTAGATTTTGTTTTAATTAGTAATTTATATATTTTTGTGTTCACATTTACAGTTATAAAAAAGTTCTAAAAGTAAATAAAGTTTTTTACTCTTGATATATACAAGGTTGCGTGAGTTTTTGCGAGGCAGGGCGGATGTCCGGGTGGAGGGGGGGGCGGGGGGTCACTAATTCGGACAATGCCGGACAAGGGGGGGAGGGGGGGGTCTGAAAATCCATCATTTGGCCGGACATCGTTTGTGAATGGCCCCTAATACAATTTGCAGACACGAATGTTTCGGCGTTCTATATACGCCTCATCAGTGGCAGTGCAAATAATATTATGCAATACCCACACGTTACTACCATTTGCAAGCAACCGTCAACTGCAAACGTTTTTTCAACGTTTGTTTACGTTTCAAATGTACGTTTGTAGGTCCCGCCCATATTTTTAACATGCATTAAGCGAGGTTTTCTATCAAATTTTCTTTCGATTTTACACTGTTAAATACAATGTCAGTACAAGTCAAAGCTTTGCACCCACAGTCTGCTTTTGGTCGTTAAACTACACTTTATTTGATCTAAAACCTCCCTTTTTACATGCATTTTTTAATTAAACGCCCCATATTGGGTGGGATCTACTGTACAACGTGTATAAAAGTAACGGCAAACGTGTACGTTTGAAACGTTGAGAAACGTTTGCAGTTGACGGTTGCTTGCAAATATTAGTATTTTTAACCCACTGATTGAACATTACAAGCGCCCTTCCTATGACCAGTCCCAGAAATTTAACAATGATGGCCTATATATTTTGCTGAAACTATTAATCTTTAACGAACAGACTAAAAGTGGAAAGATCAGCAACAGCCATAAAATTGAATATCAAAACTCGTTTGAACCAAAAGGTAAGTTATGTATTCAGCCCCCTGTGAGTGACGTCACAACACATTATGTGGAATGTTGTTTAATGTTTGCCATTTTGGATGGTATTTATTTAAAACAAACACATTGTCAATTGGCAGTTAAAGCAGGACTGTTGTTGTTGAGATTTTGTTTGAGAACTCGGTTACTCGGAGTAGCATATGAGTGGCCGTTTTCTTTTAAATTCAATTTATGTTTGCCTCTCAGACACCAACTCTAGTAGCCTGCACATATAATTCATACACTTTTTCTGTTATAATAATGCTATTCTTTTTTCAGCACGTGTTGTCCTACGAAAGATGGAAGAATATCTGCAGTTTTTGCCAAGTCCCCAACCGACCTTAGAGGTAAATAGTGCAAATGTTACAGCTTTTGAATAAATATATTTTTCATACTGCAGACAAAATGATATATAAGGACTCCATTTAAGCTACAATCTTGGCAAAAAGTTAATGAAACACCTATAAAAATAGATAAAATAATCAATATAATAGACAAAATCCCGCCCCCGAACAATGTTGGCAGTAGAGTCTAAAAAATTGTGTTCAATAGTTCATCGATGGCAGAGAGCTCTATGTGTAGGTTTTTTACTCATCTTAAAATACTCATTAATAATTCATAAACCTTGTGGCAAATCATGTCAGCTATAATATGTCACGTGGAGTGACTTTATATCTGATAAAACTCATCTTTATTAGTATTCTTTATATAATTGTTGATACTAATTAGTATGATTATATAATTGTTCATCCTAATTAGTATCCTTTTGTAGTCGTATTTTAAGCTATTCAAAACACTCCTTGTCGTGTTTTATCAGATATTTATAAAACACTCCTCGTGTTTTAAATATTACTTCAAACACTCATTAATAATTCATAAGCTTATTGGCAAATCATGTCAACCATAATATGTCACGTGCAGTGGCTTTAAACCTGATAAAACACTCCTAATTAGTATTCTTTAAATAAAGAATACTAATAAGGCAGTATCTATTGTAGTCGTGCCCTCATTAGTATTCTTTATATAACGAATACTAATAAGGCAGTATTTCTATTGAATTTGTAGTCGTGTTTGAAGCCGTTTAATAAACTCGCAGGTCGTGTTTTATTAGGTCTAAAGCCACTCGCGCTGCGCGCTCGTGGCTTTAAACCTAATAAAACACTCCTGCTCGTTTATTAAACAGTACTTCAAACACTCATTAATAATTCACAAGCTTATTGGCAAATCATGTCAACCATAATATGTCACGTGCAGTGGCTTTAAACCTGATAAAACACGTCGTGCCCTCATTAGTATTCTTTATATAAAGAATACTAATAAGGCAGTATTTCTATTGAAAGTTTGTAGTCGTGTTTGAAGCCGTTTAATAAACTCGCAGGTCGTGTTTTATTAGGTCTAAAGCCACTCGCGCTGCGCGCTCGTGAGTTGTGTCCTCATTAGTTTTCTTTATATAAAGAATACTGTCTAATAGGCAGCATATCTATTGAATTTGTAGCCGTGTTTGAAGCCGTTTAATTAACTCGCAGGTCGTGTTTTATTATGTCTAAAGCCACTCGCGCTTAGGCTTGGGCGGTTTTGCTTGAAATCAAAACCGAAAAACCGTCTGATTCTAAACCGGTAAAACCGGAAAACCGTTTTTTTCCGTTTAATTTTTATTTCAACTGAATGAGGAAGAATTGTGGTATTTCTTTGACATAAGCAAACGAACAGTCCATGGCAAAACGCAACATTCTGCAAAGGTAACCTAAAACAACTTCAGTTTTAAAATAAAAGGGTCAAGAACGCATTTGAAAACTTATACCTCTTTAGTTCTTACCGACTTTGCGGAAAAGAAATGAATTTGTATCTAGTGTCATGTAATTGAGTTTGATTAGTGTCATGTTTTGAGAATTAAGATCGAGTTTCAGGCGATGACAGTAAACAATTACGTAATGACGGTTTTCCGGTTTTTGTAAAAGCTAAACCGAGAAAAACGGTTTGAAAATAAAACCGAAAAAACCCGAAAAACCGGTAAACCGCCCAAGCCTAGTCGCGCTGCGCGCTCGTGTCTTTAAACATAATAAAACATTCCTGCTCGTTTATTAAACAGTACTTAATCAACATTGTAAGGGGGAAAGGGGAGAAGAATAGATTAAATTGTTAATCGTACTGGATGTTTCATTAGTTTTTGCCAGGATTGTAGCCTAACTGGATATTTCTGTTAAAATATCGAATAAATGAAATGAAATTAAATAAAGACAGACCAATTAAAGAAGAGCCATACATCTGTATTTATAGCTGATGCAGAATATCGTAATTTTAAATTATGTTTTTATACTTCTTTGGAACTATAGGTTATTCCCCCTTTCTTAGCCTCCTAGCTCGGTTGGCTAACACTGCAATATTTTCCTAACTGCCTCGTACTCAAACAGTTTTCCCAATACGCTATCGTATTGAAGCATTTAATCGCCGTCAGTATCTGCGTACTTAAGGCCGTTTTCCAGTTCAACCGTATCGTCCCCAACGTCCCGTAACGTACAATAGCATTTTCTTTTGTGTCGAAGTCATTAGTTCCACTCTATATATAGTGCTCAAGGAAATACGCTACGCTTCGATACGGTTATTGTGGAAAACGGCCTTAAACAGGGTGTCCAATTTTAGCGTGCTCGTACGCGTTTAATATTGATTGTATTAATAAATATTAGGGTTTTAGCTTTAGAATAACACTTGTTGTGTTACTCCATTCAAGAATGGCCAAGTCCGAGGCGGTTAAACTTGCTGGTCGAAATCACAATTTCCCACCTTTGTGCATGTTAATTTAAGCAGTGCATAACAAACGAAAAAGCAAATAGTCACTAATATTTTACCAAACAATTAATAAGCTTAAAAAAGAAGTGGCAAAATTATCAACAGTTATTTAAGTCTATTATTTGTTTTATAAGAGGTTCCCGAAGGGGGGTTCTATATCCCATTTTCTCAGCCCTTTTTTAGATCAAATCCCAGTCCCACTGTGAAATTGAAAGAAAATCCCAGAGCAGGTGGTTCATCTATTTGATGACTTCTAAACACAATTCTGCATGCCTTCAATTGCCCTCTTTAGAACTATTTTTACCGAGAAAAAGGTATATGACTAATAGTGGAGAAAATGACCTCATTGAGCCATAAGCGATTAAATTCAGTTTCCCTGGAATGTTTTTAGACAAATTCTCTATCACGATTGCATGCTCTGTAGCTGTGCTTAAAGTTATTTCACTCTGGAATGTCCAACTACAACTCTCTCTATAATAGTATTTGGGTTTTCCCATTCCCATGTTTGTGTCTGTCATTCCCAGTCCCAGTAACCCGTATCCCATTTCCCCAGTCCAATAATTCCCATTTACCCCTTCAAGACCTTCTTATTGAATTGAATTGAATTTATTTCCAAGTATGCTTATAGTACATTACATTTCCCGAGTTATATTATTTATTTATGTTTACATATTTGGAAGAAGGACTATAATGATTATAAAAAAAAATAAAATGATATTATATGATACAAAAGAGGATAATCATTAGACAGTTGAGTTGCTGTGTCTAAGTGTAAAATATTATCAATAAACTGATATCTATAACACATGCGAACATGCTGAAGTTGGTCAAGATCGCTGTTTCTGAGATACCCTGTTGTTGGTATTTTAACACAAGAATTTCATTGTCTTTCATTGAATCTGGCTCATCATGGCCGCCGTTTCATTAATTCAAGAGATTGGCTGCAATTCACCTGCATATAGGCTAATAGGTAGTTAGACTTAGACTAAAAATTAATATTAATTTTAATCACGATTATATTATATTAATGTATACATGTACTAACCACAGCACCGGTGTATATAAAGTGGTTTATCTTTATCTACTTATTTACTGTTACAATATGTCACTGATTGCTTTAGGAGTATCTTGAATACACTGGTTTAGCTGAGCTCTTTCCTAGAGTAATGTCGTACGTTGTTAATCCAGAACTACCGAGCTTCTCTGGCCAAGAATATCACCTTGAAGGTAAATATACGGTGGTCCATATGTGCAAAACACCCCCCCCTCAAGGAAAAAATATGCTCCCCATGCAGAGTTCATAAAACACCTCAATATGCATCTGAAACACCTAAAACATTCAAATCACACCCAAAAGATTCGAAACACCCCAAAAGATTCGAAACACCCCAAAAGATTCGAAACACCAAAAAGATTCGAAACACTGCCAAATGCTCGTTTAATTAATTAAACCTTTCTTATAATTATGGCGTCAGCGTGCATAAACGCGGATAAACACTTCGTCTTCGATTTTCTTGTTTGTTTTGTTTTGAAAGTTTTTCTCCAGGAAAACCCCACAAAAGCGGTAGGTTTCGCTAATTTTCTTTCTTTAAATCTATTAGTAGGAAAGACGTGATGTTTTCAATGAATGTTGATAAAATTTAGTATATATTTCCCTCTTGAACGTTGTCAAACTGACTGAAAAACAAAGTAGTAATGGCAACGGATACCAAAGTTAATAGAAAACAAACATGGTTTGGAAAGCCGGCAGATTTCAAAGTGATTAACAATGGTTATACAATTTATGTTGGAAAGGACATGAAGGTGCACAATTCGTTTGTCTTAGGTTTATTAATATTTAAATGTATGCCTGAACGACTGGACCCAAACGTTGCTATTGGATGATTGCTTCATTATACTGAAAATACAATACGTTCAATAACCGTGAAAGTGCATCAACCCAAACAAAAACATCGAACAATGACTTTTGTCGAGCTTCCAAACCATGTTTATTTTCTATTAACCATGCGGATACTAAGACGAGAGATTGTCTCACTACTTTATTTTCGATTTTATGTCCCTATTTTACGGATTTTTAAACTATTTTTTGTGTTTCATTAAAAGCATTATTTATCTAATGGATTTCTTATATCTTGAACGGGGTCTGGACTCTGGAAAGTAGATCATGTCGTGAAATATTGTATATTAGGTGCACGCATATAATGCGTGTGCTGTTTTGTGTCTTTTGTATGTCAATCCAAAACACAATATAGTACTTTTACTTTCTACTTCAAGTATTTTTAAGGATGCTTTGTACTTTTTATTTAATTACGTTTTGCCTCCAGTACTTTTTACTCTTACTCAAGTCGTTTTATTGTTAATTACCTCCGCCAGGAGGTTATGTAATCATCTGGGTTTGTATGTGTGTGTGTATGTGTGTGTGTGTGTGTGTGTGTGTGTGTGTGTGTGTGTATGTGTGTGTGTGTGTTTGTCTGTGAGCACGATAACTCAAGAAATACGAAACATATCCGTAGATGCATGAGTGCATTTCCCATCGGCTAAGGAAGAACTGATTAAAATTTGGTTGAATTTGGTTAAAAATTGAACGAGAAATGAACAAAATTTTGTCTTGCTTTTCCCGGTCAATTAAAAAAAATATTACTGAATGCGTAATTAGGACGTGTATAATTTATGCACGCAGTACTAAGACAATAATGAGATGATAAACCTCATTAAGCTTCGGCCTTCATCAGTCTATTGTCTTAGTTGCATTTCACGCGACCGAAATTCAATGTCTAAAACAAGGCTTACGGAGTTACGCATTATTACGTTCAGCAAAGTGCCAGTCCATTCAAATTCTAACAACATTAGATTACTTCAATGCAGGGTGTATAAAAAGAACGCAACCTCGGAATTTCCCAAGAAATCGACATTGTTTTAAAGACAAAAGATTTTAGCTGCCTGGGAATTTAAAATAGCACCACTGTGAAAATTACTGCACGCGCGAGTGCATAAAGCAAAATTTATGCATTTATTTAATGACACTTAATAAGTTTTTATTTTACAAGTACTGTACAGTACAACAACAGTAATGTGATCTATTAGCAATTCGATTTCAATTCGCGGGGGCCTAAAATCTTTTATGCCTAAGAATTGCAAAGTGGTTTTCTTAGGAAATTGCAAGGTTGCGTTTCACTTCCGAGTAACGGGCGGAGGTATGCAGTCTCTGAGTGCCCTCTAGTTACTACTACTTTTACTCGAGTACAAATTCAATGTAATTTAGGCACCACTGATAATTCTTCAACAAGATAACTTCAAGATTTAAGATGGCAAATAACTAAATCGGTTTTACGAAATAGTCGTTTTCGAAAATAACCAGGCTATAAAGTACAGACCAAGTTGAGGAAAAACAACTTTGTGTGAAAACTTAGAATGGAGGAAGGAGAGCAGAATTGATGTTTCAAGTGCTAAACAAAGTAACCAGCGGTAAACTTCATGGCACCCGCCGGAGCTGTGGCGGCCGCCGGCTTATTTTGAAAGCCCTGCTACTATAGTGTGTCTATTGCATGTAGAAAAGATATTTGGGGTGATGCATGTTTGAAACTGGAAAACATGGATGACAATGATTTGAGTAAACCATTCAAAGTACAGTTTGTTGGTGAGCCAGCAGTAGATCATGGTGGACCATCAAGAGAGTTCTTTTCACTTATTGACCAACGCATGCAGAGGTCAACGCTATGTGGCTCAACCTTTCGTCACAATTAGTTATATCGCTTCAAAAAGAGGTTTAAGTTTATGAAATGTTGTCAGCTCGCAACAAAAGGTTTGCTTCAAGGATCTGCTGATCCAAAATGTTTTGGAAAGACTGACTATGTCCTCTATGGCAATGTCCAATGTTTGAATCCGACGTTGGAGGAAGTAGTTCCTGGTGAAATAAAGGATTCTCTGGAAAAGCTGGAAGGAATTCAAGACGCCGAGGAATTTAAATCAGAGGCATCGTTCAACAGAGACTTCCGATTTAGCCATGGTTAGACGAAGCCGTTCGTGACCATAGCAAGCATTGCCTGCAATTATTTAATTTCTCTACCACGGTCCTGAATTAGTTTATTGATGGACTAAAAACGTGTGGTGTCCTTGATTTAGTAAGAAGCAACCCAGAGCAGTTCACAGCAGTCTTCCAGTACGGCACTAAAGCGTTTTTAACAGCTGGTTTGCTTGACGACATTTTCCATCCATTGTTCAGCCCAGAGGGAAGCAACAGACGTTTTAAATTAAAGAAGAACGGTTCACCTTGTTTTCAACTTTAATCAGATGCTAGAAAATGTTGAAAGGGGAAAGGTTGTAGAGGAATTGAGTGAAACTGAAGTAACTATTAACTTGTCTGATTGTCTCATCTCGCAACCGGTGCTTCTGCCTTACCAGCGTTTGGTATCACGTCCATCAATTCGGTTTGATCACAATACACGTGCGGAACAAAAGCTGTCTGTCAGTACCTGCGCTAATGTGGTAACTTTACTAGTTTCTGAGCCATGGCATCCCTGGAAAGCTTTCAAAAGGAGTTCATGCTTTGCATGCTTAACTCTCCTGGATTTGGCAATGTGTGAATTTTCACCGGTCACTGTTATCCAATAACGCTCCGTTAACTGTTTTGTTTATACACTTAAGGTTACTCCACATGATGGAAACCCATTTCACCAAAATGCTCACCGCGCGCTCAATTTTCAAGTTTTCCCCTTCAAATTTTGCATGCATAATGATAAATCATTGCTGTAGCTAACGATTCGCCAAAAATTCTACATCTTTAAAAACTGTACTTGCTACACTGTAAATCTGGGAGTGTTGCCACAACACCAAAATCGGTGTAAATTCTTGCCTCTGTGGGGACACCGAAAAGGTGTCAGTTAACACTGATTTTAGTGTTAATTTACACCTCTTCAGTGTACATAGTTGTGTCTGTATGAACACCCATTTGGTGTTAATTTGCACCATCCTAGGTTATTTGACGCTGCTTTGGTGTAAATCCGCTTGCCTCTGTGGGGACACCAATTTGGTGTTTATTTACGCTGAGAGGGTAAACTTACACTATCCTAGGTTATTTAACACTGCTTTGGTGTAAATCCGCTTGCCTCTGTGGGGACACCAATTTGGTGTTTGTTTACACTGAGAGAGTTAATTTGCACCATCCTAGGTTATTTGACGCTGCTTTGGTGTAAATCCGCTTGCCTCTGTGGGGACACCAATTTGGTGTTTATTTACGCTGAGAGGGTAAACTTACACTATCCTAGGTTATTTAACACTGCTTTGGTGTAAATCCGCTTGCCTCTGTGGGGACACCAATTTGGTGTTTGTTTACACTGAGAGAGTAAATTTACACTATCGTAGGTTACTTAACACTGCTTTGGTGTAAATCCGCTTTCCTCTGTGGTGACACCAAATTGGTGTAAAGGTACACCTCGAAAGTAAACTTACACTTCCCAAGGTTTAAATATGCTTGCAGTGTAAAGCTTACTTTCTAGTGTTCAATGTAATGCAATTATATTATACCAATGTAGTAACAGTTAAAAATAAATTTATTACAAATTTAAACTATAATTATTTTTAGAGTTTAAGACTATAGTCTATATATACATATTTTGATTCAATTGAATCATTTTAACAGTTTACATCAGTCACAGACTCACAATCCAAATTAAAGTTCATGTTACCAGTACAGGTGATTTGAAAACCAATAGTCTTTGCTGAATGGCACTTTGACACAGTCAAAAATGAGAACACATCACTATATAGCAGCGCACACAATCGACAAATGTTTTGCTGTAACTGTCCTTCGTTAAACATCAATGCATGGCCAACACGTTCCCTTGAAAAAATAATTATTTTGCATTACAGAATATTATGAAGAGTGCACTGCACCTTTTATGTGTTTATCAAACAACTTATAGATAAAACAAACTCAATCTAATAGTACTTTTGAAAGTGACATGTCAGAGTAAATATTTGAAATTTTAAATAGGCAGAAAGTTTGGCTAAACTATCACTAGGTAACACTTTTTTAGGGGCATGCTACAATTTAACAGGGCGCATTGGCAGAGAGACTGGTTAAACAATTAACCAGAAGAGCATAAACTTTTCTGGCAGTAACATTTTCAGTCACAGTAAATAATAAACATATATATTAGACATTTTAAGTTTAATTGATTGTGAAGTTCTTTCCTATCATTTCAAATCAATATACTGTATTTTATTATAAAAAGTATAGTGCTTCATACAGATTTCGAGCACTGATAAAAGTGATAATCACACATGTGAGATTATTCATGATAATCTCACATGTGAAAATTATCACTTTTCAATTATCGCTTTTCTGTAAACATTATCGCTTTTCAAATACTGTCCTTTATATAATAAACAGAAAAATACATGGGTGCTTGGAAATACCAGATTTATTTCTTGTATTGAACATGATATCTCACTTGTTCGCTGCGCTCACTCGTGAGATATCATTCATGTTCAACACTCGAAATAAATCTGGTACAGTATTTCTGGCGCACCCATGTATTATTCTCTATATAAACATCACTTTATAGGCAGTCTATATCCCATTTTAAATATCCTACATATATTTTATAATCACTCTATATCCAGTATGTGGCCGGAGAATCTGGTAGGATATTTTCCAACTATTCGGCATATCTGGTCTTCAGCTGGATGGCAAAATGCTTTAAGCGGTGCATCCCTAATGTATATTAATTATTATTAATTAATTTCATTCTCGTGGTAGTGGCCAGGGAAATATTATAACACACAACTCTAAAGCTATGATAAAAATAGGTACGCGACCGCGTACATGTATCTGCGAAAAAAACTTGATTCACATTTTGTATTTTCTTGAAAGAAACTGAATAATGAAGATGACATGGGACAATTGAAATATTTCATCACTTATTATAATGGCAGATAAGATTTAAAACAGGGCTGTACACAGCGGGGAGTGCAGCAGGGCAAGTACAACCACCCCCACCCCACCCCCTCCCCCACCGAGAAAATTTAACTAACTTTATAATGTGATTATGATTGTAACAGATAATTATGCAGTCAGGAAATAAAAATTTCATGCAAACAATATTCAAAGTGTCTATACAGCCAGCTATTTAGTAAACTGTCACCTGTCAATTCAATTCATACTCATCAAATTTTCAAAACTTTATTGTAATCATATGAAGCAAAAGTTATGTCACTTGTTGTTTACACTTGCCAATGTTAACTGTTGAGTAACATACACAAATTATTTGGTGAACATGTCGAAGACCACTGAATAATTGAGAATGTTTTGAAGGTCATGAGTGAAGTATATAATTAAATTCCAGTTCTGTGCACAGTTAATGATATACCACACTGTTAGGTTTAACACGTACAGCACATTCACACAAAAACAATCGTGTTGTGGGAGATTATCGGTTTGAGTAGAAGGTATCACAAGTTTAGTTTTGTACATTGTGTGCCATTGATCAAATCCACCATATAATATATGATTACTCATTGTAGCTGTTAAGTTATTTTCCATACTAATGAATTTAGGTAAGATTGTCTTGCAAGTTGGTTGTTCTGACAAAATTATCCAGCCAATATCCAGTACATTTATTCTTCATTCTTGTATTAATCTCTAAAGAGAAATATTTATGTTAGAAAGCAAAATGACAATGTAATGAGGCCAGGGAGGGTGAGGATTCTTTTATTTGAAAATGTTTGTAAAAATTTTGTTTAATTAACTCTAATGTGTAAAACCAAAATGTATAAGTATTTTAACTGATAACATCTTCAACCTTTGCTCTAACACTACATTTGATGACAGCTTTATAGTTGGACTGTTGTTTTGAACAAAGTTATGGAGTCAATATACAGAAATACAGGACCAGGATTTAATTCAATATCTCCTGAGAATGTTTTCACTGTTTAAAATACTACAGAAGTCACAGAAGGATTGTTTTTAATACTGTATAAATCTTTTTGCGAACTATGTTGACAAATATCCTCGAAAATATCCAATATTTTAACAGTCTAATATATTAATAAAAAATTCCAGAGTGCATTCCATGTAAACTCTACGCCGAAGATACGGCAATATTTACTATAGATAGTATAGTAAATATTTGCCGAACTGGCGAACTCATGTATTATAAAACTTATAAAATATGTGGGACATACATTTGCACAAATTTGGTATTTAAATATATAATATGTGGTATTTCACTACTTACCAGATGAGGATAAGCTTCCATGTTGATAAATAACGTCGGAATAATACCGCAAGTTCATTCAAATTCAATGGCTGTCTTCAATTCAAGATAAATTGATAAAAATATCAAGATATTTTTGAAAGAATATAAAACACGATTTATACACGAGGCCTGACGAGGCTAAAGTATGCCCGTTCGCAGGTTAGATCAGCGGGCAAGATGTAAACAATTGATGTAAACGAATCGCTGATTGGCTTAAATTGGCATAAATTGGCTGAATTATATAAGCCCGTCGCTGAATGGCTAGGGATACGGTACGGTACGGTACGGTCACGGCACGTTTGCGATAGCATATATATCTGCTTCGCAGATACAAAAATTGTTCAAAATTCTAACTTCTTTTTAAGATGAGGCAATAGTGGGGTGTTTCTCCAGGGAACACATTTCTCCTGGTTTTTCAACCACAAATTTCCAACATTGATCAAGTTACAATTCTGAATCACCAGATAAAACTTTTTGCAATCCAGCCAGATTTCAGCTATTACGTATAGTTGAAGGATATCCGGTCAAATACTGTTGATATAATATAAGGTTTAGACTTTCATTTTTAAAGATAAATAATTATTTTAATTGGTTATAAAGTGAGGGTGTTTATAATACTTTGACTTCAAAATATATGTGAAATCATAGCAAAGAGCTTCACTCTAAACAAGGGTATTGCCAAAGCCTTGCTCACAAATCTCAAAGGTCAAACCTGGTTTCTTCCAAAATACTGGATAGTAAGATTATTTTACTATCCACTATCTGCCGAGAGGGGGAATAGGGCCCTAACTTGAGATTGAGAGCCTAAAATTGAATAGGTCCTTTAAATTGGTTAGAGCATTCTAGTTAAGAATAATCTAGTTAAGGTCTAGTCATGATGCCCCCAAAGAAGATTTGCCCAGGGCCCAACAAATTCTCTCGGCAGCCCTGAGCCTGGATATGATATCCGGTACCGTACATAGCATTTCAAACCTTTGTACAAGCACAGGTACATTCAGTAAGAAT